ATCCCGGTCTTCAACTGGATACATAGAGTGACATACATGATACTCCATCTTGTTCAAGTGTATGACTATGTAATATCTCTCAGGCCTTGCAACCATTCAATGCAGTTGGGCTTTGTTCTTGGCGCAACCTAGTGACGAGATGAATACCAAGGCTACGGACAAGTACTCTCAGAATTGTTTTTTAAAAAAATAAAAACAAGATTCAACTGACTTCCTTATGGTCCAAAGATACTTCTTAGGTACCGCGACCGAAGGCGTGTTCTTGGTCAGTGATCAAGTCGCGGTGAGGTCACAGGGGTCCGTTTTTTTTTAAAAGAAAAAAAAAACCCTTGCTGAATCATTCATTGTTACTACCCAAGTGAATAACCCCGAGGAACTGGAACTTGAACTTCATCACTACCTAATTATAATCGCTCTCACTTCACCCCAGTGCTCCAGTCATTTCTGTCCTTATAGGAGTTCATATCCCTTGAAAACGTGAAGTTCAAACTCGTCCCCACCATTCCACTTCCTTCCGCTCCATCGCGTCTTAGCCTCCTGCAAACTCTTGAATTGCGCGTAACGGCACCTCCGCAGACTCAAAAGCTCCTGGATATCGCTTTTCACTCCTCCTTTTTCTTCTAAACTCTTTTGCGTTCTCATCTCTTCCTTGACATCGGCACTCCTGTATAAGGCCCTTCATCTCAATTTCCTCAATTCTGCCGTGCCGGGATCTTCTCGGTCGCATGTGTTCGCAGTAGCCGGATCACCTCTGTCAAGGATGCTGCCTTCTGATCGCGCCACGGTCTCTGGCGTGTAGCCAACCTCTCACCATGTCACGCGCCTCGGCTGGCTTTGCAGACTTCTTCCCCACCGCCCCGTCAGTCCTTCAGCAGAAGCGCTTCAAGACAGCGCAGGAACGGCGGAAACTGCAGGTTGAAACTGATCAAATTTCTGAAAGGGGCTCGGATTGCCCAGTGTCTCTTGCCCCAAGCACACCTGCGACCGTTGAGACGTCTCTGAAACCCGATACACACGAGGGGGGAGCTCGCACTCCATCGGTCCCCAAAGAGCTTGAATTGACCATTTTCGCCCCGGCGAAAAGCGTGGAGGATCAAGCCGGGCTACCTCCACCACCCACGGCGAATCCCGTCCCATCACAAATTGATACACTGACACCGCTTACCAATGCGGAGTCATCACCCCCTTGCAAATTAACTAGTCCATCACAGTCAAAGGTAATAGGCGGAGGTTCTCCGGTTGTTTCTTCCAGGCCGAATCCTGAAATCACCAAATCTTCCATCACTCCAATCCACACCCCTCCGACCCCCCAGTCGCAAACCCGACACCTCGAGCCCCGTGTGAGAGGTTGCAAGGTCGTGTACGACCCCGATCTGGACAAGCGGACCTCGTCAAAGGAAAAGCGAAAAAAGCTTGAGTATGTGGACATAGCGAATAATGGCCAAGCAGATGCACCACCTGATCCGCGTCGTGCGATTGCCAACTATACCCGTGGATCTGGCTGCAAGCAGAAGACAAAATACCGACCCGCGCCTTACAATCTGAAGCCATGGTCATACGATGTGGCAACGAGCATTGGCCCCGGGCCTCCGATACAGGTCGTAGTGACGGGGTTTGACCCTTTGACTCCGATCGCCCCGATCAGCGCGCTTTTCGCGAGTTTTGGAGATGTAGCCGAAATCAAAAACCGCACAGACCCGATCACCGGCCGGTTTTTGGGAATCTGCTCTATCAAATACAAAGATAGCATCTCGGCCCGGGGAAATGGCCCATCGTCAGCATCTAGCGCTGCCCGGCGCGCATACTTCGAATGCAAAAAGGAACAACGGATTGGCACACGCAGGATAAGGGTCGAGCTGGACCGCGACGGGATTGTCTCAGAGCGAATGGCTGCGAAAGCAGTCGAGTCCCAGCGACTGGCTTCCAAGAATACCCTTCCTGCTGCAACTGAACCGAGACCGGATCTTCAGATCAAGAAAAGCGAACCACCACCGACTGCGCCCAAAGGTCCCTCAGGCAGGTCATCATTACGGCCGGGGGTCGTTATCCCAGAAGGTCCCAGGGCCGGTGTCCGATCCCCTGTTGTACAATCATTAGTCGAAGAAACTCCGATCTTGAGTCAGATCAAACGCGATCCGTACATTTTCATTGCGCATTGTTATGTCCCGGTTCTTAGCACAACAGTTCCGCACTTGAGGAAGAGACTCAGGCTCTTTTCATACAAGCAGATTCGTTGTGACAAAACCGGTTACTATATCATTTTCGAAAATTCGCGCCGGGGTGAGGAAGAAACTGAACGCTGCTACCGACTGTGCCACATGCAACCCTTGTTCACCTATATCATGAATATGGAGAGCCAGCCCTATGGGAACCCGAGCTACGAACGAAGTCCCAGCCCCGAACGCCTTCGCACCGAACAACGAAACAAAGCCGAAAAGGATCGGACAAGGAAAGAGGCGGAACTAGATCTCGAGGAAGAGAAAAAGCAGCGGGCGATTGATTTGGATCCATGCCGAGAGGTATTGTCCATCATCATTCGTGACCTGAGGGACAAGCTTCTTGAGGACGTGAAGTCACGCATAGCTGCCCCAGCTCTTTACGACTATTTGGAACCTAGTAAACATGCGGCTAAAAGAGAAAGACTGGGTATCTCGGATCCCGAAGGGAAAAAACGCTCTGTGTTCCAAATCGACAGCACCCCTGGCTCTCGAGGCGAAATGTCTTCTGGCCGAGACCCCCTCAGATCCTCAAGTCTGAATGTCCTTGCTCTTCCTCGTATCCGGAAAGCCCATGGTCTTGACCGTGCGGGTGCTGCCTTTCTAGATGAACGGCGCAGGCAACCACTACGAAAGAAAGAAGTCCGGCCTTTGTATCATCGCTTACAGCAGCTGCACGATGGTGAAGATTCGGACGAGGAGCAGCGTACCCCTGCTACTAGGGATGTCGATGAGCGAGAGAGCCGGCCCCCTAGTCGCGCAAGTTCAACGTCATCGGAGTTCGATCGGGATGGAGGATACCAGTCAGACGAGCTGGAATCATCTCAAGAGAGCGAAGAGCGCGGCATTCAAGATGTGGACGATCTTGAGGTCACAACTGAGATCAGCGACGTTTCTCATGAACTTCAGGTATCTCCTACGTCAGGCAAGAGAAAGCGACTGGCCGAAGATGAAGAAGCACGAAAGCGGCAGCGACAGGAAGATGAGCTATTTGGCCTTGACTCGGAAACAACCGGGTATGAGGATGCAACTAAGGACCTGAAAACGCCTGTTGTTGGCGATGATCTCGCTGAGGATTTCGACAAACTACCAACTCAGGATCAATCAGCAGACCAATTCACCGAGCTTGTCTCTCATAAACACAAACACCCCGAGGGTGATGATCTTTCGGTCAGCGAAACGTGGAACGCCGACCCTACCGATGAGCCGAAAACAGAGATTGAATGGGGCTTTTCCATGGATAAGCCCCGCGCCACGGTGGAAGATGATGAAACTATCGTGCTTGATTTAGATGGTTGGCAACACCTGGTTAAGGATGATGAAGATCTGCGATTTTTGCGAGAAATTCTCCTGGATCAGTCCGAATCAACGATTCAAAATCTGGCTGCATGGGGGTGGAAACAGAAGGAGATCAAAGCTCTCAATGGTCTGGAAACCGGTACGACCCAGGACGCTATCAGTATCCCTGGATATTACGTGCCAAATACCACAGGGGCCGCGCGGACGGAAGGTCGAAAAAGAATTCTTGAGGCGGAAAAGTCCAAATACCTGCCCCATCGGATCAAGGTTCAGAAAGCTCGCGAGGAGCGTGAAGCAAATGCCAAGGCAGACCCCCAGGCAGCAGCAGCTGAAGCTGCTCGGATTGCAGCCGCCAAAACAATATCAAAATCGACGTCCCGGTCGACGCGAGTCAACAACCGCCGGCTCATTGCAGATATCAATGCGCAAAAGCAGGCCCTCCCCACTGCGAACGGCGATGGAGACGTTCTTCGATTCAATCAGCTTAAGAAACGCAAGAAGCCTGTGCGCTTCGCTCGCTCTGCCATTCACAATTGGGGCTTGTATGCCGAGGAAAACATTACTGCCAACGACATGATCATCGAGTATGTCGGAGAGAAAGTGCGTCAGCAAGTCGCCGATATGAGAGAAAGACGATACCTGAAGAGCGGGATCGGCAGCAGTTATCTTTTCCGAATTGACGAGAACACCGTCATTGATGCCACAAAGAGAGGAGGAATTGCGCGATTCATCAATCACAGCTGTACACCCAACTGCACTGCCAAGATCATCAAGGTCGATGGCAGCAAGCGAATTGTGATTTATGCGCTCAGGGATATCGAAAGAGGTTTGTGAACTGCTCTCGCTTCACAAGAAAACACCGATGCTAACAAAAACCTATCAGATGAGGAGCTAACGTACGACTACAAATTCGAAAGAGAGTGGGACAGCGATGACCGAATCCCCTGTCTCTGTGGTTCAACGGGCTGCAAGGGATTCCTCAATTAAAAGCACTTTCCAAGGTCTTCTTAGCAAAGTCCATGGGAGGCATCTTGACTCCCATCTACCGGATGGCGTTGAAACGGGCTGGCGTTTTCAGCGTGGGAGCACTGACACATTTATCAAAGGCAACCGTGATTTCATAAACTACAAACTCTTTTGTACAATATACCAATTCCAAAAGAATTTCGCCCGTTTTTCGTTTCGAGTCATAGCCCGAAGTAAAGTCCTCTCAGAAAGCAATGTGAGAGCGTAGATGTGTCAAATCCCAGAAGAACTCAACTCGGATGTCCGATGACCTTGGGGCCACTGCATAGGGTTCTTTTTCGAAGAAAATTCGAAAGGAACGGCGAAGAGACTGGTTCTCAAAGACCGGTTCCTAGCCCTGGGGTATCGATTTGCGAAGCAATTTGGGTGAAAAAGCGCGTGTGGGGATTGTGTTGTTCAAACTGGAGAGGCCTCATTAGTAAAACGAACACGACCAAGAGAAAAAAAAAATGGAAGACCTTATTTCTTACCTAGATGGCTTGGAAGAAGGAAGTTCGCAATTCCTTCCTTAATCATATATGAATGACCGCAGTTCCCGCAGGTCAACTTCCCTTCTGTGACGTGCGTCTCAAGCAGCAACCGGTGCAAGTCCTTCAATGTCTGCTCGTTGTCGAGAGCCTCGCCCTCGGGTTTCGAATCCGGAAGACTAGGGAATCCAAGCTAAGATCGCTAGAGTCAGCTTATTGGTAATTATCGACGAATGCTGAATACCCAGGCAACTGTCGGTGAACAACCCCGGTTTGGATATTCATACCTCGTTGGAAATGGTGCGCAGGGCTACCCAGTCAATTCGGGGAAGGACGTTGCGGATGAATTCGGGGTGAAAATCTAGTTCCTGTTGCTCGAGCTCGGCATCGTGGAAATGTAATGGGAAAGAGGCCGGCGATGTCTTGCAATCCTTCACGGCGCATGTCACGAAATTGGCGGTGATCACTTTCATTGTTGGGGGGGTTTGGGGGGCGGTGATTGCTGGTAGAGTCCGACGCGAATCTTCTGGGATTTTTGGCCAAGTATGTAGAGGTAGATTGGTCTAGGCAGAAGATCAATTTTAAGGATAATGAACGTCGTCGGTGGCCCCTCTGGAAAAGAAAAAAAAAGAGCCCCACGGCTTATCAGATATCATGTGATCGACATGGATGCTGCCTTGATGTTTACCTTGGGAATTGACTGTACATGATTTTATGGAAATTTCCGAAGTTCAAACTGGAAGATGTGATTAGATTTTTGTTAGCCTTGATTAGCTATTATTCAGTGGTTCGAAACCTTCAACTGAGATTATTTGATTTGGACATCCACCAGATCTAGATCGTCAATGTCATAGTCACCAAGACATGAATCAGGGTCAAGCTTGTCTCCATCAAACAAAAGAAAGATATCATGGTCAACAGGAACATTCTGTTTATCTCGAAAAGCAGACGTGAGTCGCGAGATAAGGGTCTTTTTTCTTGCTTTGATTCTGAAATCATCGTATCCAGGACTCCTCAAAACAAGTTTCATTGGCTCACCCGGGTCATCTTCTGGGGATTGCGACCCTGTAGTGGGCTTGTCATTATCAGGCTCAATACTTTGCTGATTGACTGGCAGAGGTAGGTCGGTAACCGCCTCCATATGTATGCGCAGCTCTTTCTGGTCTGCCAAGGTGTCATCATCAATGCCAGGGATCGCCGTAGAGTTCTTCCCCGTGTTTATGTTTAGACTCCTGCAAGTTGTCACGTCGAAAAGACGTCGGCCCTTCCAAGTCAGGTAGATCGATGCCTGTATTTGGGGATCAAAATTTTGGCGATTGCACCATGCCAACCGCACATCTCTTAGCCGCTGTGACATTTTTCGATGGACGAGTAATGGTTTGGTATTCGCAATTTCAGATGAGATCATGATCAGAACAATCGGGTCATCCGCTGGAGCATCTGCCTGCTGAACAGGCTGAGGAGGTTGAACGGGTCGAGGGCTTCGAGTTTCCGAGTCGTCAGCTAGGACAATCACTGGTCGAACTGGCAGAGCACCTAGTGGTTCTGGGCCACTGACTTTTTGCGGTGACTGGGACAAACGATTTTCTGAGCCGAGTCTTTGTGTTGCCTCGCGTTGTTTGACAGGCTTGGTTGGTTCGGGTGAGGAATCATGCGAGGAGGCCGAGAGCCCTTGTGGCTCGGGTATCATAATTTGATCGCATGCAACCTCACGGGTCACATTTTGCACCAGATTGCTATCATCGTGCCCTTTTCCCTTTTCCCTGGAGATTCGGCGCCGCTTTTTTTGTTTTGGGTCTTCGGTATCTGCTGGTATTTCCGGTGTTTTCGGTTTGTGGTGTGCTTCACGGTTCGCAGCAATGATATCAGAGTATGTTTGTTCTGAGCGTCGATAAAAATCAATTCCAGTTTCCTCTGTGTTCTTGATTGCCCACGAGGGCTTTTTGAAAAAGCTCATGCCTCTTGGAGCCGGAATTGATGAAGCCAAGAAGTGCAAGTTATGGTAGGATGACTGAATGGATTTAATAGGTGGCTCGGGGGCACCTGGTTATCATCAGTGATATACAATATTGGTTAGCGGAGAAGTAAGATGTGCGATATGAGGCCTGCGCATAAGCCAAAGAATTGACAGCTAAGGTGGAGGGAACATGTATCACATCTCTCCAAACTTGGAATAAGGTGCAGTGGGACCTCGAGAGACACCGTTGTTTACCGCCTACCAAAGGTATATTAGCGCGCGTTCTGACCAGCAGGGAGATTTGACAATATGAGGTGTCTCTCGTCTTGGTTTCTTAATAGTTAGCCTCAAATACTTATTATCAAGTCCGGTCTCTCAAACTTCAACCATTTCAGTGATTTGAATGCTGTTAATGAAGTTTAGAAAAGGTACACAATAAGACCGGCAGTACCGGCAGAATAGTAAAGCGGTGTCCGATTCCATGGGAAAACTTGTCAATACCGCCCCGCTTGCAACAGTACATCGCCCTCACCGCCTTCCTGGTCTTTACCACTTTCGAATGCTTCATCCTTCCTCTTATTACAAAACACATCTCAACTTGGTATGCCTTCCCTTTTTCCCCTTGAATTTTGCGTTGATTGACATTGGATAAGTTTCAGATCATAGCATTGATATGGAGAACGCACCAACCTCCGAGGGGAAAGACCCCTCTGTCTTTCTGAGTGAGATCATCGGTGCGCCTGTGATTGTGAAACTGAATTCCGGAGTGGTCTACAAGGGTATGGGCAGTTCTTTTAATTTCTAGTGGCTTCACTCATAATGCGCCTACAGGTGAATTGCAATCGGTTGACGGCTACATGAACATCGCCCTTGAAAAGACCGAGGAATATGTGAACGGAAAACTACGACGAAACTATGGGGATGCTTTCGTCCGTGGAAACAATGGTTTGTCAATGATTTCTTGTGTTCCAATCCTATGACTGGCGCGACAGCTTTCTAACTAGAGCCTACAGTGCTCTACATCTCTTCCAGTTGATCCTGAAAACACACTGCTCGATTTCATCGATTGAGCCTACCTACAATAGCCTGTAGGTGGATAAGAGAGGCACAATTTGAGTTCCATCACAATGATTTGGAATTCTCTAGCTAGGAGGACCGAATACAAGCCTAGGTGGTGATTGACCAACTCTTCTCATGACGCAGTTGACCATACTTGCAGGCCTGGGGTTATGGAGGCTACTCTCCTGCGGGTTTCGTTTTTTTTTCCCTGCTTTTTATTGAGCTCAACAGTGGCGCATGTAAAGATCGTTTTTGCCCAGGCGGCTTGGTAATATCTTCTGGTGATGCGGCGATGTGCCGTTAACCTCGTGTTCTAATTGATGCGAAGCATATTCACGCAGTAATACCTGGTATTTAATCCCGCTATGACTTGTTTACATTTCCTACATACGTTGGTGGTATGTTCCTGGGAAGTCTGTACTTGTGTATGTTGTACCGATGTTGTACCCCGCGGCCGAAGCTCTGGAGATAGGCACTGATTAAGTAAGCTTGCCCAAGTCGCCGCGGTGCTTTGAAGGTTCTTTCTTCGCTGCTTACCCAGCTCTTCAAAAATTTTGACAGTCACATATCAAGATGTTGCAGGCAATCAAGTTCAGCAAGGGCAACCTTGAGATCCTGGATCAGTTACAGCTTCCCTTCGTCGAAGAATACATTCCTATTCGGACTACTGAAGATGGATGGCATGCAATTAAAGATATGAAAGTCCGAGGGGCACCTGCTATCGCCATCGTCGCAATGCTTGCCCTCGCCTCGGAACTTACCTCTGCTGTGGATAGTGGCAAGCTTTCACAATCACCAGAAGAGGTGTGCCAATATATCACAGAAAAACTTGCTTATCTGGTGACAAGTCGGCCAACTGCCGTCAATCTCGCTGATGCTGCGCGCAAGCTGGAGGCTGTAGTGGTCACTCGCACGAAAGCATCAGGTTCTACTGGCCAAGAAGTCGCAGCTGCGTTTATTCAGGCGGCAGAGGATATGATGGGAAAGGACCTCGAAGATAACAAAAGAATTGGGCACAATGGCGCAGAATGGATCGCGACCCATGCGGCCAGAGGAAATTCAGAAGTTGCTGTGTTGACTCACTGCAACACTGGGTAGGGCTGATTCACCGCGTTATTCGTTATGCACTGTATGTTCCCACTAATCATTAATTACTAGCTCTCTCGCCACTTCTGGATATGGCACCGCATTGGGTGTGGTTCGTTCGCTGGCCTCGAAGAAAATCCTACGTCACGCTTATTGCACAGAGACTAGGCCCTACAACCAGGGGTCTCGCCTTACAGCCTTCGAGTTGGTTCACGACAAAATTCCAGCTACGCTCATCACGGATTCTATGGCGGCCGCTTTGCTCGCAGATCCCCAAGTGGGGGTGAATGCAATTGTGGTGGGAGCTGACAGGGTAGCAGCCAATGGTGATACAGCCAACAAAATTGGCACCTATGCCCTGGCTGTCTTGGCAAAGTACCATGGTGTCAAGTTCCTCGTTGCAGCGCCACTCACAACAATCGATATGGCCACAAAATCAGGAAATGACATCGTCATCGAGCAACGTGCAGCATCTGAGGTGACCAGCATCAAAGGTCCCCGTGCGGGTTCTGAGACCACCGATCAGATTGCGATTGAGACCGTGAAAATTGCCGCGCCAGGGATCAATGTCTGGAACCCGGCATTTGACGTTACTCCTGCGAGTTTGATAGATGGGATTATCACAGAGAATGGAGTTGTAGAGAAGGGATCCGATGGCCAGTATCACTTGGGTGGACTATTTGATGGCTCTAATTTTTGATCCTGATCTGTGCGCGGTTGACTCGGGTTGATTTCATCGACAGATGTAGCGTCCGCTGCAGCAGTACCATGCCTTTCGAAAGATGCCAAGAGTTCATCAACTTTGCTCTCAATTGAGTTGAGATGATTCTCCAGGGCCGAGGCAGTCATTTCACCCCTAGATATATCATGTCAGTCTTGTGGATTTATTTTTGTAAGCTATAGGTGAACTCTCGTACTTTGCAAGGTCTGCGAGTGCCTATATCATGAATCAGCCGTCTGACCTCGGATCAATTGGTAGATGGGATGTAAGAGGGGCAACGTTGCCTAGCAACATAGTATTGGGAGACAGATGCTGCTTGCGAACACCGAAATGGAGGGACTTACCTTCGCCATATCAAAGTCTGCATCTGGTCTGGACATAGTGGCCGTTTGGAGGGTTATTGCTGAGTACGAGCGAGGGAGTTTGAAGACATAATGGTCTGCGGCGCCTGCAGGTGGATGCCCCCCCGGGGTCCACCGACTTGATTAGTCATCCAGAGCCTGAGATGCTTGATTTCCCGATAAGAAATAAGAAAAAAAAAACCTACTTCCTCGCTACTATCACCATCGGCATCTCGTCATCATGGGAGTTCAGAAAAAGACTCGCAAGTTTGCGCTGGCCAAGAGGGCCATTTCAATGCGTGATAATCGCCTGTTCGTCGCAACCACGAAATACAGTCTTGTTGCGACTTGCTAATGGTCGGTTATAGGAAGCAAAACCAAGACAAGACAGAGAAAGGCAAAGAGGCCAAGAAGGACGATCTTGTCAAAGAGGCGTAAGTACAACGTGTTATACTATCGCAAGAATTGCACTGACAAGTTCGCCTCTAGTCCCCAAGCTCCTTCGTCAATGTTCTTCCAGTTCAACACGGCTCTTGCCCCCCCATACTCTGTGCTGGTTGATACCAATTTCATCTCTCACACCATTCAGCACAAACTCGAGGTCATCCCAACCATGCTTGACTGCTTGTACGCCAAGTGTATCCCTATCGTCACAGATTGTGTACTTGCCGAGTTGGAGAAACTTGGCCCGAAATACCGACTTGCCCTACGTGTGGCCAAAGACCCTCGGTTCGAGCGAGTCAAGTGTGACCACAAGGGAACATATGCCGATGACTGTCTCGTTGACCGTGTCATCAAGCATCGTGTCTACATTGTCGCCACAAACGATCGTGATCTCAAGAGACGTATTCGGTATGTAATTTACATCTCGACCTTATGTTCGCTGTACCAGTCAAATTCTAATCACCATAACAGCAAGATTCCTGGAGCACCCATCATGAGTGTCGCTCGCGGCAAATATGTGATTGAACGCCTTCCCGATGCCCCCGAAAAATGAGCGACTTGCACGAATTATCCCAATCGTCTGTCGCTATTGCGACCATCCACATGATACCCACAACCACATCTGTTTCTTTCTTTACCAGAAAGTTGTAAAACAACACACAAAATTCGCCTCCAGACATCGGGCAAGCAACCGACCACAACACGCAAGACCGCACGACTAAATTATGATGTCAATGGACCCTATCCGATCAAGCAAAACAACTGCACCGAGAACCAGCAGAACCGCTCCTCCCATGGCTGTTTCTAGAACTCTAAATCTATGTGCCAATGGAACGAATCGTTTGAAGGACCCGGGGCTTCGTAGGCAAGGTTACATGGTGGCACAATATGTCATCTCCGTCTACATTGACTACCAATGCAAAAGCCTTTGCAATCCTTATAATCTTTAGAGACGCATGAATGTCGAATTCTTAGCTGGTTATGGTCATTTACCTGGGTCTTCAGTTTGTGAAGCACATAACTAGTATATTGGCTTGGTGTATCTTTGATCTCTGTTAACCATATGTTTCTATCACTTGACGAACCGCAAGCCGAACAAGACGAGTGTTGGCAAAGCTTTGGATCATTTTCTGTCGCGACATCATGATGTGCAGTGGAGGTAAATCCGCGAGTAATGAGCTGGATTCAACCAAGTCATCATCAGGAGCTGCGATGTGGAAAAGCTGCTTCAGCATTCGTAAAGAGTACAGTGCAGCTTGTATTTGAGCGAGAAGGTGAATGTCTGCCCACTTGGTACTTTGCACCATGTATCCATTCGTAAGAAAGCTCTCCAGTTCCTTCGCACTTGGAACTGTGGTTGTGCCGGATCCATCGCGGTAGATATCGGAAAGAGCATACAAAAACCAAAAGCTCTCCGGTGCCAGACCTTCGTCAAAGGTAGCATGTGCATGGGCAAGGCGTCCCCGGAGGAGATCCAGGTCAGAAGTCACGGTCTTTGTTCCGCTTAAAGTGATCTCCTCGGCCACGATCCTTCCACCTCTGCGGACAAATTCATGTACAACCGCGAAGCGATTGGTAGTAGGACGGGAATTGTTGAAAAATGAGTACCCTAGGGACCTATATGTTCGACCTTGTTCCCAGGCACATCGCCTCGAAGAATCTTCGTTCAGAATCCCGAGATAGACATGCGGCTGGTCACCTAAGCAGTAGATGCCAGGAAGTTCATATTGCCAATATAACTCCGATACCCTAGGATCCAAGGGTTGTGCGGACTGCCCTGCTCCCCGTATCACCTCGTTATCTGCAGTCTCATTTTGATACTCTCGAAGAAACTCCAGATACTCCGAGGAGAGCTCAGTCGCTTTACTACTCTCCTGGGCTATCCGGGTAAGTTCAGCAAAACGCAAGTGATGATTTTTTTGCAATTCAAAAGCAAACCACTGAACACTAGGGATCCCCAATCGGCCAGAGAGCGAATAGGGACAGATTCTCAGCCCCCGAATATCTGGATCGGCCGGATTCCAGACTCCCGAGGATGTTTGCACCGACTCTAAAAACAAGACCGCGCCATCCTCGCCAAGATCGTGAAGCAGAAGATCCGAATCGTCTGTCAACACTGCACAGCCGGTACGTTTTGCCACACGAGCGCACTCGACATCTGCTTCTCCTGGCACCATGACGGTGATTTCAGCCCAGGTGCAATCAGTATCGGCGGCAAGACAGGTGACATCATCGTCAACCTCTTTCCGGATCTGTTCCTTAGTCCATCGGTTCCGCAAGTCCTCAAAGACCGCCGATACCATAAAGGGATTCTCTGGAAGGCCTTTTCGTCTCTGGGGCAAGCCTCGACTGCACCAGACCTGCCCTCGTTTAGTCGGGATCACATCCCGACATTTGGGCGTTGCAGGCAAAGACAGGTTTCGACGAGCCAATTCCAGTCGATGTCGTAACTTTTCAATTCTGGAAAAGCGGATTCCTCGCTTAGAGACAGGCAAGGCACCATCGAAGCATATCTTATTTCTAAAAGGCAGAGAAAGAAAGAAAATTGATAATCAGAGGATAGCTGTGTTTTCAGACTAGTGTGAAGGCTTACATGTTAACTCCCAGTCTGGTTAATTGGAGAAGGCAACTGACGACCCCGCGACTGATTTCGTCGCAGGTTGGCTGGTAATCAAGAACATCACTGCTTGGGTCCATCCAGCCCAGGAGTCGACGGTAGACATGGTATACTAGACTGGGGCCATCAATGACAACAGCTTGGACGCATGGGAGTGCTGAATCACTTGCCCTCCCATCTAACAAGACACTTTCAGCATATGGAAGCAAGTGTCTGGTTAAGTGAGGGATCCCCATAATGCGTGGAAGAACCCTTCTGGTTGTGGGTTGTGGATTTGTTTTTTTTTTTCTCTTTTTTTGGTGTATTAGTCAGGGATGGTGAGGCGCCTGGGTTCCAAGTTTAGACAAGATTATGAGATGACTTTCGATCTTCATCTCATCTCTCTTAATGACTAGGATATATGAATGGTTTCAGGAGCCATTGAGAAAGAAATGGCACGAAAAGAAGATAGAACCAAGTTCTTTAAATTCCTACAAAAACACTGGATTCATCAAACAGATGCATATATAGATTCAACGTGACACGCATGATAGATAACAAAGAAAACAAAAGGCACTGATGACCCGAAAAGGATTTAACCAGTATCTGTCCATTTCAAATTACCGAGCAGATCGCAAGAATCCAACAACTCCACGGCAGTAACCCACCAGCTCAGCTAGGCGCTTTCCCTCCCGCTGTTGCTCGGCAGACCAAATCGCTAGAGCCTCTTGTAACAGACGATACTGAGGTTCATCTTGAGTAGAGCTGAGACTCACAGTGTCGGCGTGAATTTTCAAAAAGACCGCCATCCACGCATGGACAAGCTCAAAGTCTCTCTTGGACTGCAGGCGAGCAGTCAGGGCAATAACGAAATCGGACAACTCAGAGTGTCCATCACGTAGTCGAGGATCCAGTGAACGAATCTCGAGATCTGCTTTGGCCGGAGATAAGGTCTTGAGGTGGTCGATAAATGAGCTGAAGTCACTGGAATCATGGCCGGATGCCAATGATCGAGTGAAAATGGATTGAGGACCACTGGCGTTTCCACCGGTTTGCAACTTAGCAATCCGCAATCTTTCAGCTTCGGCGATCTTGGCCACCGATCCCGCATCGGTATCCTCGGTGCCGGGAATTTCACTGACGATCTCGGGCCCACTGGAACCGAGGAGAGAGGGAAGGAAGAACGGAGCCTTTTCAGGTGCCTTTGGGGCTTCCGTAGGGCGATTACGTTCCTGTTGAACTGTTAGCTAGAGACTTATACATACGAAGGAACAAACACATACCCGGATAGTATCCAAGTGAAGCAATGACTGCCATCTGCTTTTGGGGACAAGACTCAGAGTCATCATGTCGTGTTGTAGTTGTTCTGTTGCCAGTACTGGACCCTCTGCCTCATCTTGCTCTGTAGTATTCACAAAGGCGGCTTCAATCAGACCAGCACCGCCTTCTCCTGATGTTGCAGGGAGCCCAACGTTTTCAATAACGTTTTCGTCCAGATTCTTGGTTGACACAGGCATGAAAAGGCTTCGGTTGCTCCAAAGGCTGATGCCGATACTACCAGCGTGTGCGGTGGCAAGGAATTCACCAGTCGAAGACATGGCCAGAGCGACACATGTGCTTGAGACCCGGAAAATGTCAATCAGATGCCCGGTGGGCATATCCCATACGCGCACCACCGAGTCCATGGAGGCAGCAACGATCCATCGTCCATCATTTGAGAAGATGAAGTCGTTGACTTGACCCACACAACCCCAGAACTCACGAACGAGCTTTCTGGTCTCGAGGTCAATCACACGGATCGAGAGGTCGTCACAGCTGAAGGCGACTAATTCGCTCGCCTTGTTATAGCGAAGTCCAGTAATGGCAGCCATGGGATGCCAGTCTAGTTCATCAATGAATTTTCCAGAGAGAAGATCCCAAAACTAAATTCCAGACCAAATTAATTTGTAAATCCCTACAAAAAAAGTGACGGGTGGGGTTTACCTTGACTTTGCCGTCCAGACCACAGCTGACAACAGTACGGTTCAAGCTGTCAATCATCAAGCCAGTCACAGCTTTGGTGTGTTTAGAAGCCGCGGCGATCAAGGTCTGAGCGTTGGATTTAGTGGCACGGCCAGCTGGGGGGCGAGCTGGGAAACTTTGTCGGTGCAGACCTGACTGCATGTTGAACATGTCGATAGAACCTCCAGCTGATCCAATGACAGCGAAAGTACCACATTGTGAAACCGCCACACTCTGTAAAAATTAAAATTAGCGAAAGAGAACGTTGGGTCAATCATGTTTTGAAACCTGCGCACCTTGACCTCTGTTCCATCACTAGTTGCAAACGCCCATCGACCAGCTTTCTTTTTGCCCCAGAACCAAGTACGTGCGAACTTGTCGCCCCGATGACCAGTAACGACGCTTTCCCAGCCGGTTGCGTTGGAAGCATCGGCATTTGTAACCTTCGGGTTCGACCAGATTGGACCGGAGGTGGTGACTCCCATTCCGCCATCACGGTTGAGGCTGCAGGCAATGCATGTGACTTCGGGAGCTTTGAGATCCTCTGTGTTTGAGATGTTTGATGGCCCTTGCTTCTTAGCCTTGCGTTCCAAGCTACCCTGCGATATCTCGGTATGCTGGCTGTCTTTGCGCAGACTAAGTCCCCAGAGACTGCAATCCTTGCTTGCACTAAGAAGCCACTTGCCGCCAGACTCGGACCCATCTGAAGACGTCGGCAGGAAATCGAGAGCGCTGACGGCAGCAGAGTGTCCGTTTCTTCTGTGGAGAGGTCTGGGAATGGGCGAAAATGGCGTTTCGTCGAAGATCCAAGTCTTCAAAGAATTGTCATCGCCCGATGACACGAGCACGGGCTGTCCATCCAAGAACTCAACACGATTAGCGCCCATGGGCTTTTCGCCACTTGACATTCGGTGGGCTCCGCGAAGGATACCTGCAATTCGACCTCCATTGTTCAAGTCCCAAAGCGTGATGTCGCCGCTACCACTTGACGCAGTGGCCATGACACCTGAGCTGCGACCATCGTGGCCAGCACCCAATCCGTCGCCACGGAAAGTAATCGATGTTACCGGCAGACCTCGGGACGATGCGTTCTTGAGAGACAACACCAGCTGACCTGAGCTCACGTTCTGAATAGCCAACGCACCGCCCTTGTAGGCAATGGCAACAAGTGATAAAGCAGGTGTGGGGTGAATCGCAGTTACAGGCCCAGAATCTGCCGACAGAGAGGGCAATGTGTGAATAAGCTTCCCACTGCGGAGGTTCCAGATGTCAACCGCTCCGTCCGATCGGCCCACGAATATCTTGTTCAGATAAGTCGGCATGTTGCACATTATCCCGGTGTAGATCTTCTCTCCAGAGGAACCCCGAGCAGATTGCGGCCGCAGACTGGCATAGTGCTCGTATGTGCCCGTTTTCCAAACCTCGAGGCCACCGACCCAGCAACCAACCACCCACGAACCAAACACTACCAAGCGCTCAATGGGTCCCTTCAAGTCTGTGGGGCCCTCGAGGACTGCAACTCGTTTGCCACGCTTGAAAACCCAGACGCCTCCGGCGGACTGCGACCGAAGATGGCCCCAAGCTGCGAAAACCTTATCCTGCCACGCACATGTTGCGGTAATGATCTCCGGTGTTTGTGGTCGACTCAGAAAGATGAGATTCAAGCCTCGGCGCAAATCATAAGTCTGCAGTGAATGCCCCACTGAAGTCGTGATTTGAAAGGTCGATTTACCTAGGCGCACCGATGTGAAGGGAACGGGTGTTGGCGACACTAGTCCTAGTGTCTTTAATAGCGACAAGTCAATTAAGAGTAAAGCAGCGATTCAGATGAGTTTCTCAACTTACACGGAAAGGAGCAAAGATTTTAGAACCACGTGTTCCAGCCTTAACCTGCGATACTCGTTTCTGCCTCTTCGCGAGAGGCAGATCGAAATTATCGGCTGAAGGCATGCTGATATCGAAGGGCACACTGACGACAATGGATATTTGTAGGGTTCAAGAAATGAGAAGAAACACCTTAGCCTTGTGAGTGAGATTTTTCTTCTGACTTCTTCACCTAGTCAACCACGAAGGGTATCCAAGTCGTCCAAGTCTAGTCTCACTAGCTTTGTCTTCTTTTTTTTCCCGATGTTTTTTTTCTGCCCCGCCTAGTCCTGCAGGCACCAGACCGCCTTCAAGCATGTGATGTACATTTTCCCGGGTATAGAATACTTTCACATTAAATTGTCTAAAATGTCTCTTGAGTATTCCTTACATGAAAAAAAACCAATGAAGCTATCAATTGTGTTACATACAGTATATTCTTCAAAATGCAAGCCACGGAACATCTTATCGGAGATAGTATTGTGTGATCAAACTGCTATCATAGAGTGTCGTCATGTACTGGTGACAGCCACAACAAGTATCTAGACTGATGGGGCATGTGTATGGAGTACTTTTGGGATATACTATGGCGTAGTCTATTGGAACTCGAAAAAGCCCGGTGAATCGATTGCACATATAGCATTCAACTTTCCGCCCATTCAATCTAATCATAAATCAAAAGTACAAAACTTGAACCAGCGAAATGCCCATTCTTTCTCTCCGCCTATGCAAATGCGGAACCCCATATTTGGTAATACAACCTTAAAATCCAAGAGCCCGCTCATCCTCCGCGAACTGCTAAGAATTTGCGCATCCACAACTCCTCCATCCCCATTGATACAA